ATGATTGGTATAAAGGGCTGTGGTTATCTCCCTGCTGTGCCGTTAAGTCACACCTCAATCAAGTTTTTTAAAAAAAACATTGATTCTCTACTGATTAAGAAGGCAATTATGCTTTTCCAAAATAATATGCAAATCTGACAACCACCTGTCTCTCCATATGTTAGTTGCCATGAGAAAGGAAATACTAGTTTTTAATAATCTTTTTTTTAATCATCATCTTCTAAAAGGAAGAGGAAGTGAAATGGAAACATAAAACTTCAAAACAATCAAGTTTTCAAGGCCCAACAAGTCAAACATTCATTGGGTAAATAATCTAACAACTGGGTGCTTTCAAGCAAGGCTTTAACTGTACAATTATTTGCTTCAAACCTTGATTATTTTCATTCCATCCACTGACTGTCATTGACTTCTCTACATTATCCTCCCATAGTTTTTGTCTTTTTTTGTTATGAGAAGAAATCCATTGAGAAAGGGAAAGTAAGATAACTGTGAAGTCTTTCAACAGATAAAATTTGGAGATGCCCACCTGGAAGCACTTGGGGCTGCATTGTGATAATGGTGTTTTCAAGTCAAAAGTTTATAGCCTCAGCTTTTTTCTATTGTCAAAATGCTTGCATGTATTGTTTTCACAGTATCAACTACATATTATGTTTCAAAGATCAATGTCCTCTGAGTCTATTTCGGCCAATTTGACGAACGGCTCTAATACAGGAGACCAGTCTAAAAAGTAGAAAAATGGATAGTTAGATATTCCCACATCAAGTCTTATAAATGTATTATTAATAAGCACCAGATGGCTATGATGAATTGCTCTGTGTGTGTGTGTAAACCCTGATAAAGTGTTCTTTTCTGATTATGATGGTCAATTTTGTTCTATGTTGACAGTGCACAGAACTCCAATGAATGAAGCAATTCCAGATATTCATTCAAACTTTAAATTAGTTGTTTATGATGTTGGGCCTGGAATGAATTCACGATCCCAGCAACAAAAAAGCTACTATGAACTCAGGCTCCTGAGTAAATCTAGCAATCATAAAATAAAAAGGGAAGTTTCCTGAGTATTGGAAATTGGTTAAAACTTCTTGGCCCCCATCTACATGGCCATGTAATCCAATTGAACTACATTACAATGGTCAGTGTAGACTCATAATGCAGATTGAACTGTACTAAGCTGAATTATATGAACCTCTATACTGCTATATGATCCAGTTCAATGCAGTTAATCTGCATTCTGAAACTGGATTATATGGCAGTGTAGATGAGGCCTCAGACTGATGTTGGGTGGGGTGTATATGTGTGGAAGATTTTCTCACTAATGTATAATTTTCCTGTTATTAAACTCCAAATCCACACTATTGTGCTCAGATTTGGTGATGAGAGACCAAGAAAGACCATTAGTTGAAGTTGAAAGCTCAATAAAAAGGCACCCAATGAGCAGCTGCTGTTAAAAAGGGCAAATTCTAAGTTGGACGTATTGGAATAGGACCTGAACAGTATCATAGTGCCTTTATAAAAAATCTATGCTGTGATCACATTTGAAATACTGTCTGATCACTGTGTCTGAAAAATGTTACTGCTGAGCTGGAAAAGCTGCGGAAAAAGGAAAATATAATTATAGAAGGGTTGGAAGACTCATATATGGGGAAAAATTGCAATGTTTGTGATATTTAACTTAAGACAAAGGGAAAACATAATAGAAGCATCAATTATTAATGTGTGGGCCTTTCTCATAATAGTAAAACCGAAGATTATCAATTGTAACTGAATGTTAGCAGATTCAGAACAAATAAGAGGAAAGGCTTTTTCACATGGCACATCATTTAATTATGTCTTCCTTTGAAAGGGGACTAAAGACATCCACAAAGGCTGGAGCTGTCAATGATCAGTATATTGGCCATAGAATACCTCTAGGATCAAATACAGCATAGGCTTGGGCCAAGATCAGTTTGACTGAAAGTGATTTGTAATATTCGGTGGTTCATTTTATATAATCCCCAAAAACAGAATGGGAAGGAAAGAACTGGAAAGCCAGCCAAAATGGATCACAACAGTCAGATTTATTGGCTACTAGAGAGGATGGGTTTTTAGTGATTTTTTTGTTATGTTTTATGTGGTTTGTATAATGAGGCATTGAATTTTTGCCTAGATGTATGTTGTACACTGCTCTGAGTCCCCTGAGGGGTGAGAAGAGTGGCATAGAACTGAAGTAAATAAAGAAATGGAATTAAGTCTGCAATATACCTGAGGCAGGGGTCTGCCGTGGGGACACCTGGAGAAGATGGGATTAACTGTAGCATCTTTTCTCCATCCCCAGCAGTGGAAAAGTTCCCTAGATTCCTCTTCCAGAGAGGGCCCCGCTGGGAACTCACTTTCCCAGCAGCACGTGCATGGTGTGGGCATTGAAAAGTCTCTGAGTTTCTTTTGGAGCATGATGGGAATTGAAGTTTTCTCTCTGTCTCTCAGCCAAGAAAAGGCCTGGTTGTGTCCATGCTCTGATTGGCTGAGAATAAACACAAATAGTGATTACAATTCTCAGAACCCTCTCTCATGGTTTGTCTTATTTTTAAAAATGTTATGGTAAAAACTTAAAATAATTCTAAAAATCAGTAGATTGGCTGATTTTCTGAAACTTGGCAGGCCTGCAGTTATAAATGGGGCCTAAAACTGAGGTAGGTTTCATGCAGATAGGCCTTAAAATGGCTGAATATTGAGCCTTTAAAGTTTCTCACTGTAACCAATGGTCCAAATCTTTGCCAAATGAAAATGGCAACACTCTTTCCAATTTGAGTAACTTCCCGGTAAACAGTTCGCTGAAAACGAACCCCGAAACAGCATGCCTTTTGGCCGAATTGCACAAGTCTAATACAGCATGTCACTCAACACACGTTGATGAGAAACACACATTTGTATTATATTCCCAGTAGTTTTTGAGCTACCTTGGGAACTGGATAAACTTAATGGGAGGTTCTGTGAGCTGTAGACAAAAATGTAGCTTTCCTAATCTCTGGCTGACAACAGCGAACAAGAAAATTACTACAAAGGATGACAGCACTGACTGACTGCTTTATCAAATCTGAGTAAGGCCTCTCTTGTTTCATCTATCAACTGCATGAGAGCAACTTTAGATTATTCATTCATCAAAGACAACCATCGAGCAGCAATCAGCACAGCTATTATTAGGGAAGTATACCTTAATATTATTTTGTTCCTAGAAGCAAGAATGTGTAATATTATTAGTGTTCTCCTCACTGTGAGAAAATCATAAAACATTACACAGTTTTCAAAGAGTATTTCAAGTTAGAAACGCCATGCAAAAATGCACAAGGGTTTGTTTGTTTTTTTTGATTGCTCACACACACAAAAACTAGCATCTTACGTGGTATTTTCTGTTAAAAAAAGTATTTTCAAGTGCCAAACTAACTTGATTGAACATTATTAATCTACACCTCCAGTTGTGGGGAATACACAAGATTACCTTTACTGCTCTAACCTAGGTGGAAAGATTCTGTGCACTGGCTCAGGTAGAGTCAGAAGTTTAGAAAGAGGAGAAGGGAGATAGAGATGGATATGATGGAGAAGAAGGATGGAACACAGGAATCTATCAAATCAGATCATTGGTCCATCTACCACAGTGGTTCCCAACCTGTGGTCCTTGGACTACCAGTGGTCTGCAAAAGCTAAAGTATGATCTGCAGCCTCACCATTACTACACTGTTGCAACTAAAGTGACTGGTCTCGTGAAACTTCTTATAGGGCTGAGGCTTATTAAATATAGTTTTCTCTGGATGAGCAGATGGCAATTAATGGATGGCATATGTTCTATATCAGAAACTAGAGCTGATGTGGTCTATCCAATGCACTTCACCCCAAATAACCAAACTAAATCTAAAGTTGACCAAAAACTAATTCGTAACCCTTTGGTACTAATGTTGGAGAGTGGTCCCTGGTCAAAGTGATCCCTGTTCAAGTGGTCCCAGGTCAACTGGTACCTGGACAAAAAAGGTTGGGAACCACTGACCTTCCAGTACTGGCAGCTACGGAGGGCATAAATGACTCCCTGTGTTTTGAGGTGGGATTCATTCCTAGCCCTATCTCAGGAGCCTTGGTCTTCATCAATAGTCACACATCCAAATATTGAGCAGACCTGATCCTACTTTGCTTCTAAAATTGCAAGGCAAGGCTTGAAGTCAAGAAAATTAAGAGTGGGTGGTGAAAGAAAAATCAATATCAGAAGAATTGTAGGGGGAAGTAGAGGGAGGGAGCTGATAAAATCCTAGATTGAGTGTATATCAACAGACTCAGCAAACCTGGTCCTATTTCTTGCCCTAGTCATTCCCAGTGTACCGTAACAGTGCAGATCACCTCATGGCTTATGCTAAAAGACATGCTGCATATTATTGAGTATCCCCCAATATATCTCTTTCATTTCATGCCTCAGTGTATCTCTCCCATTATTCCAGCACCTGTTACACTTCAGATGCAGATGTTGAGAAAATCAATGCAAACACAACAAGGAACAGACCCCCCCCACACACACACACACACACACACGCACACACACGTGTATGCCATCCCATCTCAAGTCCACCTTTACAACATGAATCCTCCTGGAAGAAACACTTGCCACCCAGAAGGGGAGAAAGGCAACTGCATCAATAGACTGGGTGGCAACATCACATCACTCTGGCAACCTGTTCATGGCTATTGAACCTGCTCATTAAAAAAACATGCAACAACTAGAACAGCCTCAAAAAGAGTTTGTTTTGAAATGACAGCTGTCTGCCTTGCTTCAACCTGCCCTGCTTGCATGAGGCAAAATGCTACTGAAAGTCCCTGAAAAGCAAAGCATAGCTGAGGCTGTGCTCTTCTCTCTCACCCAGGTTTGTTAAGCTTCCCCGCTTTTACATGGAAAAAAGTAGTGCATACTTCAGCTTTCCTCCTCCTCCCTGGCTTGTGGCATCTTATGAGGTGTTTCTATTACAAATTGCTGCCTCTCTTACCTTCTGAGAATGGTGTTCCTGGCTCTTCTTCATTGTGGAGTTGTGTTGCTATGCACTCCCTTCTTGCATTCACATAGACACACTCTTTTCTCCACTTGTTCAGGAGATCTGCTCCCTCTCCCTCTCTGCGCTCACCACAATGGGGAAGACAGGAGGAGCATCTGAAAAACATGAGCAGAACAACCGTTGTCCTCCTGCCTGACTCTCTGAATCACTCCTTCTTGGCTGAGTCTTGAGTCTTTCTAGCACAGGAAAAAAGAGATGTAAGAACTAGAATAAATCAGTAAGAGAGAGGGAGACAAATAGTAGGGAGGGCTAAGAGCATTGCAGGCTAGCTGATCTACTGGTTTGCTTGGAGTAAGAAGAAAAATTGTAGTCTGCCAAACAGCAAGTGATGAGCAGGCAAATGCCCATGTTCGCAAGGGATATGCATCTGGGTGCATGGAAGAATTGGTGGTGATTTGCCAGGATTACTACATGATCCTTTCATAGTGTGATTCTTCTCTAGGGAAATGAACGGTAGGACTGTTGTCTCCACATTCTGCTTTTGCTCCTTCCTGAGTTGTCTACTTCAAAGAAGAAAACATAATGCCAAACTATACAAATGGAGCTTAGTCCAATCCAGGATGGTTCTTGCTATGCTTTTGCTGTAATTTTTCTCCTACAGGTACAGCGGTCAAGAGACCCCTTGCTCTTCAACACTACAAAGAAAAAGGTCAGGAAGAGTAAGTTAGGTGAGTGAATCTTTAAAAATGCTTGAAAATTAGAGTTTTGTTTGTTTGTTTATTAAAGTATTATTATCTTATCCCATGTCACAATTTAAGGCATTTAAAGAAAATCAATTTAAGGTGATACAAATTTGGTCTGCTATCAGAGCTTGAAACAGATGGTCTACACTCTCCAGAATCCACCAGCCAGCAGTAAGTTTTCAAGTCCTGCATTTTTAACTAACTGACCTCATACACAATTGGGTGAATAGGTGGATTGTCCAAAGTTTGTTCTTGGCTGTAAAAATACATGCCGAATATGTATTATACTCATTCTGGAGGGCTATGTGTATTTTAGAGGAAAACAAATATAATCGCAATGTAAATTTACAACCAGCCTTTTAAAGATTCCAAATCATAGGACACATATTATGATTGTTTACATGCAAAACTGACATGGACTGTAAAAAGGCTGAACTGTCCATCAATGTTTAGCAGATGTAATCAGCAAGTAGAATACTGGAGGGTCTAGGAAACATATTGAAGAGTTCGCACAACCAAGTCAATGAATTATGTGACTATGCACATTTTCAAATGCACAAATTGTCCCTTTACGTGTGAAATTCAATCAAAATTCTAATACTTCAATGATAAACATATATTTTGTTGAAGTATATATTTTAATAGAATCAGTGTGGATGCTATTAGCAACCTGAACTGCTGTTGTCCTCATCTCAACCCAAAGAGGTATTGTTACCATGGTTATCTATTGGTTCCCTACTCCTGTTTTCCTCCCCCTCCCCATATGTGACTGTGTAAGCTAAGACAGTTGATATCAGGTTTGTTTGTCATCCTTCATGTTCTGTGTGAATATATCATATATATGTTGGTATTTATTATGCAGCCACAGAATATTAAAATGTAATATAATTATTATATAATACTGCTGTGAGAATGTGTATAAAGCAGGCAGAAAAAAAGTAACAACTCTATGATGTATTATACATACTCTCAAGTAGCTGGGATTTTTGATATATCTTTGCTGAAGAAACAATGCAATCCCAATGTAAACAACAGCCCCAAATCCAAGTAAACCAGAAAAGGGTTCATTTTCATCACAATGAAGAAATCACTTCGAAATGTTTTTATGTGCTATTGTCATCATGAACTACACTGACCAAATTTTGAACATACGGTAATCAAGAATATGGACATTACTCTGGCCTCAGTTCCTAATTCTTATGGTACATTTGTGTTACTCAGGTTGCATCCAAATTGGCTCTTAATACAAAAAGCCAAAGGGAGATGGAGTATAAAAGAAACAACATTAAATAAACCTGTCCATGCACAGAAACAGCCATTCTGTTTGTTTCTATGGGTTTTTTCTTTTTGGATAATTATGGGAAGCTCTGGCATGACTGAGCTGTTGATCATATATCAACCACAGGATGTGTTTGGGAGCATTTTACTAGATCTAAAGACCTTGTAGGGCTTTAAAAGCCACTTCCTAAAACACATAGAATGGTGGGAGGAATGGCTTTGTTGGATTTCAGGGCTGGAGAACCACTTAGGCATTATTGGGTTCCATCAACCTTAGCCAGCATAAATCCCTGGTATGATGGATATCCTAGTTTAACAGCATATGAAGACCTTTGCATTTCCCAGACCTCTTTTATTGGCATTGCATGGTATGAGAGTGGAACATGAAGAGACATGATTACCAGGTATAAGTATGTGAGAGGAAATCTAAGGGAGGAGGGAGCAAGTTTGTTTTCTGCTGTCCTGGAAACTAGGACGTGGAACGATGGCTTCAAACTACAAGAAAGGAGATTCCATCTGAACATTAGGAAGAACTTCCTGACTGTGAGAGCTGTTCAGCAGTGAAACCCTCTGCCCCGAGGTGTGGTGGAGGCTCCTTCTTTGGAGGCTTTTAAGCAGAAGCTGGATAGTCATCTGTCAGGGTTGCTTTGAATGTGATTTTCCTGCTTCTTGACAGGGGGTTGGACTAGATGGCCCATGAGGTCTATTCCAATCTATGATTCTATGATTCTAAGTGCGAAAGCAGATTGAATGCCTATGTTTCTGTTCTGGTTCCATCATTATAAAGTGTGGTTTTCAGCTTGGCTGTCAGCCCCTTTCACATTGTGCTTTCAACTTTAATCATCAATTCTCTTCAGTGGCGAATGTGAGGATTGTAATGGATTTTCACTCTGTTGGAGACATCACACGTTTCCTGTATGTTCATGCAACTACATTGTGTGCACACTAAGGATTGTGACATGAACTTGGAGAAGCCACTCTTGGAGCAACTACTTCCAGAATAATCTAGCCAGCATAGGGTGGTGCAGCTAATTTTTTACCCCAAGCTGTGGGCATAGTTCAATCAAGAGGAAAGACTCCTTCATCCACGAAGTTCAGAACACAGACACATTTACTGGTAAAACAAGCACACATTTCCTATAAACATTGTGATGGGTAACATTTTATTTCATACTAGCTGTACACACCACGTGTTGCTGTGGCCAACCTTCCCTCCCTTTAAATCTCCTATCTTTCTTTCTTTCTTTCTTTCTTTCTTTCTTTCTTTCTTTCTTTCTTTCTTTCTTTCTTTCTCTCTTTCTTTCTCTCCTTCTTTCCCTCCTTCCTTCCTTCCTTCCTTCCTTCCTTCCTTCCTTCCTTCCTTCCTTCCTTCCTTCCTTCCTTCCTTCCTTCCCTCTGCTCCCCTTTTCTTTCCCTTCTACTTTTTTTTCTTTTTTCCTTTTCTGTCTATCTATCTTATCTATCTAGAGCATTACTGGGAGTTGCAGTCCAGGAACAGGAAACAGGAAATATGCACGGATTGGGATGTTCTCAAAGAAATCCAAGGAGAAGCAAGCTTGCAGCTTTGAAGCAGTGCATTTGGAACATTCTCCTCGCCTAAAGGGCCTCGTCTAGGGGATGCTGGGAGCTGTGACTTTCATGCACGCACTGTATTGTCATTGAGTTTTGGGGGTTTTAAAGTCCTTTCCACTGGTTTTTTTTTAGGGGGTTATGAGTGATGGTCGCTTGTTGGTCTGTTAGGAATGTAGTGTCCAAATTTTGTATCAATTCATCCAGTGGTTTTTGAGTTATGTTAATCCCACAAATGAACATTACATTTTTATTTATATAGATAAACAAAAGATGTAGAAGTAATCCATCATCGTCCCCTGCTGCTGCTTTTCCGTCCCAATCCTTTACTAGTTGAAAAGCAGCCTTTTTGAAGACTGGGCCTTTTTGCAAAGACCACCCAATTTTCTCTCCCTACTGCTTTATAATGACAAGTAACCAATTTCTATTTGCCTACTTCTTGGTTAGAATGGCCACATGAAAAAGATGACAAGGCTCCTGTGCCATTATTGTTATTCATTCTTACTGATATTGATCTCTTGATATTTATATTTCCTCCGAATTTGAGACTCAAGGCAGCTTTCTATTTAAAGTTAAATTGTAAAACACCCCCAAAATACAAACAAAATGTACTCCCCTTCAAAATAAAAAATAAAAAAATTATTTCAATTTATTTCAAACATTTGTACCCCACCCTTCGCAACTCCCACAGGGGGACTCAGGAGGGCCAAAGTCAAGATTGAAATTACATGGCTCACTAAAAGAGGGAATTTTGGCTAGCAAGGCTCCCATGCTATGCCCCTTTAAAGGTAGAGAGAATGCCTGTCCCCTTTTTCATGTGGCCACCCTGCTTGTACTCCACCTAGTGCATCTTGCTGAAGTCTATGTGGTGACCAAGCTCAGACCAAGTGGGGGATCATGGGAGCTACAGTCCAAACAATCAATTATAGAGTGATTTATATTATTGATCATGTGCTTGCTGTATGCATCTTGATGTACAAATGCTTTCAATAGAGATTAACTGAGATCAAACAGACCCTTGCTTTGATCTAATTTATTGTGGAAGCGGTGGCTGATTATATGCCTTTCTTTCATCTTCCTCCTTCCTTCCTTTCTGCTGTTTTCCCCAATCTGCTTGAGCTTCCTTGAACTCTGCATTTCTCCTCTCTTCAGTTTCTAAACAGTTTCACATTGTGCTGTTCCCAAGAAATTTAAACTTGCATTCTGGTGGCTTAGGGAACAACACGAACACTTGATGCACAACAACCACCCCCCCCCTTTTTTTTTTTTTTTAGCCGATGCCTGTTACCTAATATCTTTGCTCCCTCTGCTGGCCAAATAATGTTCATATAGACATACATTATGTTTATTTCTAAACCTTGTATCTCTATCTCACTATCTCTTATTTCAAAGGAAGTTGTATTTATTGACAAGGCTGCATGTTTAGCAGAAATAAAAGTATGTGAACTAGTATACGCAGAACTTTGAAACAAGATTAAATTCTGCAGATCTTAATTTTTAAAATAATAGTAAAATGGGGAAGAAGGGGGAGATCTATCAGCACCTTTGAGACTGACTTATTTCAGCATATGCAGAAATTCAGCCCATATCTTCAGTTGCAATGTCTCCTTAAAAATGACTGATATCATGGTGTTTGTCCCTTCCCTAAATGCATATTGTTGTTGTTGTTGATGATGATGATGATATTATTATTATATTTCTTACCCGCCTCTCCTTGTAGCTTGAGGTGGGTTATAGAATAATTAAAACACATATAAACATTGTAAAAATGTCACACATACACATATTAAAGTGTATTCTATTAAAGATACATATTAAAACATATTTCTATAAAATGCAAATTAGAATACACAAAACAGATATTAAACAAAGGACACATGTCATAGTCAGCAGTCTCTACCTAAACCCACAGATTGGTTTAGTTGCCAGATCTCATGGCCTAAACATGTATTTCCAGTTTTTTCTGTGTCATCTCTGGATGGGAGACAAGGACACAGATTCTTCATCTCATCTTGTAGTTTGAAGCCATTGTTCCGCGTCCTAGTCTCCAGGGAAACAGAAAACAAGCTTGCTCCCTCCTCCCTGTGGCTTCCTCTCACATATTTATACATGGCTATCATATCTCCTCTCAGCCTTCTCTTCTT